ATGAATCAGTTTTTCTTCTGAAAAATTAATGTCTGCTTTGTGGGAGTAGAAGATTACTTTATTCAACTTTCCGACGCTGTGTTCTGGGTGAAATAACAGTTGTGTTACAACGGCAGGATGGATAGATAGATAGATAGGTGGAGAGGTAGGTGGGATAGTAGATGGATGGAAGAACATAGAGAAGAAGACGGGTAGATATGATTACGTCAAACTGGTCAGTTAATTATCGCTAAGGGAAAGCCAAAAGGAAAGTAAATACAAATGTAGATTAACTACCACAGTGAAGAATATTTATTAGAATATAATAATTCTGTCAGCAATGTTACCCCTTGATTAGTATACATTAGAACTCTCCTCGTTATAACCTGCGAATGTTTGAGGTTCATATCCGAATGTTTTTCTTTGTTCGTCCCCCTTCCAATGAATAGTAGCCTACGATCAAGAATGCCTATTTTGAGTTGTTGCTTTTTTTTAAAACGGGAAGTCTTGGGTAGTAGTCTATCAACTGTGTTATTAGAACGTACATGTCCAACTTCAAATTCACACAACCCAAACACGGAACCAAGTAATTAAAATGTATTTATGAGTGTGGCCTTTTTTTTCAGCGAGTCTCCACGCAGTGCGAGCCATGTGCACTATAAGTTGCTGCCTCACTATACTAGCTGTACTGTTGAGCTTTTGGCATTTGTGGCTTGTGGTGCGGCACGAGAAGGTAAACTACAGGATAGTCACTGCCTGCGTCATCCTGATGCTCATAACAGGTAAGAATTGGTAGGCATACTCAACGGGTTGAAAAAAAAAGCCGTCATTTTCAGAATATCCTGAAAGACGTTTTAAAATGTTGAAAGGAAAGGGTAGATCTATGAGAAATGAGAACTCGAAAAAGAGAAGCATGTATCATTACAAGCCTTGCAAGACCAAAACTAGATCTAGAGCAGAAATAAAAGACCGGCGTCTGTGATGCGGCTAGAAAATGGCCTCAAACATTTACTGATATTAAAAAGCCTGAGTGTCCTTTGAAACTCATATAAAGTTGTTTACGCCTTTTTTTAAACTTCTCTTCTCCAGTCATTCTGACCGTTATATCCAGCATCGTCTTCAGCGTGGCCACCAAATATGACATGTCACCAGACGGGCTCTACAGCTACGACCTCTTCTATTCCTTCGCTCTCCACGTAGTGGGCGGGGCTTTCCATCTGCTGGGGGCGGGGCTTATGGTCGCCAGCGTTAGGAGCCTCACAAAGCTACTGCTGGTTTGAGCACGGACTTTTCAAAGACGTCACCAACATTTGAATAATCATACGTTTTCTGACTTCTCATTGGTTTGCGATGTGAGTAAAGGACATTCACGGGAGGGGAGGAGCTTTTGGCAGTCAGTGTTTCGTCAAGTTCCCTGGAGCTTCTGGTATGACACACTTCTTTTCTACTCAGGACGTTTCTGCGAATGATAATTGGAAAGTGTGGAAAGTGTCAGGCATGGGCAGCTACGGCCTGCGGGCCAGATCTGGCACCTGAGCAGTGTCTGTCTGGCCTGCGAGTCAACCCAGTAATTAATAATGAATATGGCCCGAGGTGGGCTGATTATAAAAACAAAATTGTTCGTCTTGAAATTTGACGTCAATAGTTTCTGGAACCAACAGATGTTAACACTGAAGATTATATCTCTTAAAATGCCCTTGAGTAACATAATTAGCTATATTATATAGAATCTAGTGTCAGTTTTTCTTTCACCTTTGAGAGCTTCGGCATTTCAACCGATTTCACTCAACTTTCTCCCACGGAATAGTAGGCCTACTATTTAATTTGGAATTAGTTAATCCGGTCCACGACCTGGATGCCCTTGCCCATGCCTGTTATACATGCTACTACTCTGTATACCTTCGTGCGAACTCTGATTTCCAGTCAGTGTGGTTCCGGCAACATACCACTCGACCTAACGACGAACGCCCTCTGATTTCTCTTTTGGGGATTTTCTGGAACTGAGCCACGCGCCAAAAAGGATAGGATCAAATGGATAATAATAATAATGATAGTAATAATAATAATAATAATAATAATAATAACAACAATATTAA